TAGTGTCTGCTTATTTTTTTCACGAGAACCAGAGAGGGCGCCATTGTCGATTCGTGCACCGATCGTAGCTGTGGGTGTAGTCATTAATTCAAGCCCCATTGAAAACAGTGTACAATCAGCATTGTTCGGGGTCCAATAACATGCGTACCAACATCCCTGAGGTATCTGAAACACACGTTTATTTATTCTATGGTCCCTAATCTTTCACGTTCTTTTCAATTTTCTGGGGGTTAACGGATTACATTTTGAGTTATTCCCACAAAACAAAACTACCCCCCGAAAAGTTATTTCTCCGATGTCTGCTTGCAGCCATTTTTCAATTGACAACCTTCAACTCTCGCGGGCCGTAGGCCAGGCAAGATATGGGACGGAGGGGTACCCCGCCCCCTTACCTGTCCAATCCCTATACATACTATAGACTATTGTTACCTAACACATCGTCCTAATGATCCTAAATGCCAGATGAAATTTAGAGTTGCCACTTGAAAAATGTGTGCAAGCAGACTTCGGGGAAAAAAACACTTTGGTGTGCACATGATTTTATTCTGTGGGAATAATTGAAAATGAAATTGATCAACCCTCAAGAAACATAACGGAAATTGAGCAATCATGGACCAGACAATAATTAAATTCGTTTCAGAAACCTCACGAATGTTGAAATGCATGTTATTGGACCATGAACACTGCTGATTTTACAGTTTTCAATGGGGCTCGAATTGGTGGATTGCACCCGTATTATCGATGCACCTTACGATAATATGCCCGCCTTGCACGTTTCTTTTCCGTTAAAGCTGTATACTGCCCTCATTGTTAAGTTCCACCTGGGAGAGAGGAAGGAATAATTTTGGGTGGAGCAAGGGTTGAGTTTTCATGTTGGTTGGGTGGGAATCAATCGAAATATCCTCAAGGTCAAAGGCACAATATTTGTACTTTGTCCATGTCTACAAAGTTGACTCCAGTATTGCCATAGGGACCTTAATCCCAAATTTGTTGCTGTCCAACTTTTTGAAGCCAAAATACGTGCTTGTTAATCCATGAACTGGCGACAGCTATGTTCCCTCCATTTTAAAACAATATACTTTTATATTTATTTTTGTTTGATGACAATATTTCCTCCACCCCCAACTTGAAGAATTATTTGAACTCTATGCACTGACACTTTAACTTCTGTAGAAGCTTGGATAGCCATAGGCAGCCCCCCCAAAAAAAACAACTCTGTCACACATAAACTGTACAAGCGTGTAAGGTTTTCAAATTTTATTCACAGATTTAATTTTAAACCACTGAGCTTTCACTTGTGAATAATTCTTGACATATTTTAAACGAGAGATATGACAAAATAATCTATACATAATCATGATATTTCCACTTTCTTTAGTTGTATGGCTCGGAGTTCCTTAATACAATGACAAAGAATTCCTTGGTCAAATTGTATATCAACTGGGAAAATCAGGTACAGACGGTCCTATTTGTGGTGAAAGAACAAAGAGTGACCAAACAGTTAGTCTTGGCCCAAGACGTCAGTGATCAATAGTTGTTTTATTTCTGTTGAAGAGCGGCCTCGCACAACAACTTTTTACTTACTGTACTCTGAGCTGTCGCACGGTCTAACTATGAGTCGTTGGGGGCACACTATCCACGGTGTCCGCTATCAAGCACTAACGTCTTGAAACCAAGACTATCAATCGGTTTACTCCTAGATTATTGAAATTTAAGTACTCCCTACTAGATTGTGCTAGTTGGTCCTTGTTTCTTCAAAGTAAAAGTCGTTTTGTTTGTTTGAAAAGGAATTCAACACTCTAAGCCCTTTATTGGTTTATGGAAAATCAAATGCATTATTTTGATTGATAGAAACAAACAAGTTTTGATTTGGGTTATTGATCAAGGATTCTTCCACAACCCAATTTTTGGAGGTCAAACTTGTTTTGGATGTGGGGGGCAAAAAGTTAGAATTTTGTGTGTAAACCTTTATGGCCCCTCAGGGGAGTTGATTGAAGCTACATTTTGGGGCCTTTTACACATGGAATAGGGCCCTTGGTGGCACTGGCTCTACAGAAATGCCCTTATATGGAATCACTCTTTGTTAGTGTCTGGATGTCAATCATGGACTTTGGTATTATAAACAGCAGGCCCATCATTTACATTATTTGTAAATTTTGGAAGTATATCAAATGAAAACAAAAGAAATACAATTCAATACTGATGGCGGATCCCCAGCAATACCCAGTGTGAAATTTTTAAAATGTTGAATGAGAAGTCCCCCACAAAATACATTCATTGAAACAAATTAAATTATTTGTTTAAAGTACTTATAAAATTAGTGTAGGACATGGGTGGCTTGAGGGATAAATCCCCCCACTTTTTTACCAGGGGTGCATTACCAATACCCCTGTAATTAGGGGTGTGCCCATAAAGTCAGTAACTTGAAAGTATGTGTATGGGGGATCTTGGACCCTTTGCCATGTCACGTTCCACACAAGGATGACCTATCAGAAAACAGCCCCCCTCCACATGTGACAAGAAATGTTTTCAATTTCTCTGAAGAGTTTTATGCACAGAAGGAAGAGAACATTCAACATTCACTCTGACCATTGTTAGTTATTTGAAAAACCTTTTTACCTGGAGATTTTCTTTACTTAGCTCACCAGGTTTGTTAAGTTGTGAATCAAAACATCAAGTACATAAAATAACACTCAGCATACACTGTATTTATCCTTTTGCTTTCTAGAAATGCAAAAACAAAACAAACTCTAACAAGATTAACATGAATGCAGCAAATGCATGCAAGCAAACACCAGAAAGGACAAACACAGTGTAATTTGAATGTTTTATCTCCAAACTGAACTGTAAATAGAAACTTACTGCAGGTCCCCAGTCTATACCAGTAGCCTCTCTCTTCCAACTGCAACTGAAGAGTGTATATGCATACCCAAATTTCAGATTTTACCACTCATGCTCTGTGTTGAAAATATTTCCACATTTTTGTAGGATTGATTTCTTTTTGCATTTCAAATCATCCACTTGGGCCCTAGACAGAAAATCCCTTTTTAATTCAAGGTGAGTAAACTGAATCTATCAGCTGACCTTAAAAAATAGTTTCCTATATAAATAAAACTATGACTTTTTAAATAGATTACCTCTGATAAAGAAATATAGAGCTTATACTAGGTGGGCAAAATATAGGGAAAACTTATTTTTCTGCAATCAAAGTTTGGTCTTGATTCCAAATATCCATGGTCATGCTGGATTTTGTAGGTGGGTGGGTGGACGGGGGTAGGTAGCAGCCACAAAACAAACATTTTAGTCAACATGTTACCCGTAGGAAGAGCTATGTTGCATTTCCCATCTTCTTGTTTGCTCTATTGAAGTAACTTGCAAATTAACAATGATTAAAACTTACACGTACAACTACAATTAAAACACCGACTTGTCCCTTGTACTGTTGTAATGTAAAATTTGGCAACAGTTTTGTGAAGACTAATTTTGAGGGAGTCCACCCCAACATAAAAACTTCAGTGGAAATTGTCTTGATGCTGAAACATGCTTAATCTGAATGAAAGCAATTCCTCATTTTTTTAGAGAATCTTTAGATACATAACTATTCAATGTTTTGCAGAGTAGCCCAGTTTATATGATTTATCATTTACAAACATTTATCAAATGTGAGCACTTTTATCCTGAAGTGTGAAAAATGTGAAGGGTTTATTTAGAAAATGTCATATGTGCCAGTTTGTTTCCCTCTGGAATGCCACCTTCTCCTGGTTTTACAAAGTCAGTTTTACCAGGATTTATACAGTTAAAAACAGCTCATTAAATGAAAAGCGCAACAAGTACAGTTGATTATATATAACGGGTTTGCCCTTACCCAACGTATATTAATAAGCACAAATAAAAAAATACATCTTGAAAATAGTTTGCGGTACCCGCTGCTTCATTTGACTCGAACCAGCCAGCCGACCCCGGCAAGCTCGGTGGTCGAGTGGGTAAGACATCTGCACTAGTAAGCAGGAGGTCTTGGGTTCGGGTCCCACCCGAGTAAGCTTGTGAGGTTTTTTTCGCAAGCTCTCGGACAAGCACTGAGCATACAGTGCTTATTAACCACTTCGTGCCGGGGCATTTTTCAATGTTGATGATGCTGGGGCGGCATGGCCATCATTTTTTCTGTTTTCAAAATCCTGCAAAAATTCATCATTCCATTTAACGGTCGTTTATAACCGCACCAAGTAATCTTTAGGCACTACTCTAAGTTGACAGGTGACCTTCATTGACGCCCAAGTATTTCAGCCAGGCCTGCAGCCTTGTATAACAGTGCGGTGTTATACAACTGTCTTTTGTTCACGAACCTGGCTCAGTGCACTGCTGACCTCTTTTCAATAAGGGCCAGATTAGCGTGCAGCGGTGCTGTATGGCTCATCGCTGCGGTGGTGGAGCGCTTTTGTCCCC